TAGAGAAGACAACGAAAAGCACAATTTTAATTGTCTTAACATTTGCTTTGTTTTCTTGATTTAATTTTTTTTGTAGAATTTTCTTTTATTGTTTCAGTTTTAAAATATTTGATTTGTGAAAAGCTTTTTGTTGTGTTCACTTTTAGTTTGCTGTAGTTTCAGAAAAAAAAACTGTGATTTGAAAAAGAGTTCATAAATGCTGATGATTTTTATTTTCATTTTGTTTATTGTGTTCTTTTTTTACTCTGTAAACTGTTTGTTGTTGTATTTACTAAAACTGGTGCATTTTTGTTTAGTTGCATTTGATTTTTTTTATCTAGATCATTTTTTGTTTTGTTTTCATAGAATAAATCTGTGTATTTCTGGCTTTGTTGTATTTTTCAAATTAAATTTTGTGCTTTAAAAACTATTTCAGCTAACACTAAAGCCTATTGCTTTTATAAGAACTCATTTTATTGCTGCCATCCTCTGCCACCTTGTAAACTTCATAAAACCAAGTTTAAACTGGCTGCATGTACAGTAGATACAGTAGAAGTTGTATTCCAGCAACCTTCTTTTGTTTTGACTTTGAAATGTGAAATTACATCTCAGCATACTCAAGGTTTCGTGTTATCAGGAAGAGGTAAATGAAAACGAGTGCAGGAGGCTTCCAGAAATAAACACTGACATTTCATCTTTGACTCTGAAGGTGGATTATGATTGCACAGTTAAGGAAAGAAGACCAACTTAAAACAAGAGGCAGGGAAATGTTGAATGATGCACAGAATGTAATAAATAAAAGCTTGTTCGTGTTTTCATTGTGTCCAAGCTTGATCTTTTGCTAAAACCTGTGAAGAAATTTAAGAAAAAAAGCTCAGACTGTTAAACTATCCAAGTTTTCTCAATGTTTCCCCTTAATATCAACCATAATTTAATTATATATAAATACACTCAACACCAGTTTAGTAAAGTTTCTTGAAATGTTACAAACTAAATCCATATCCTTGTGACTTTACTAGATTATACCAAAGCAGTTTGTTTCTTTTCTCAGGTTCAGATTTATGTTTTAATGTAATCTAATGTTTGATTTGTTCACCATTAACCATTTTTATTGATAAGAATCTGAATAAATCCATTAACTCCACTGTGTCCTTGTGCCTCCTGCAGATTCATCTCTCCTGCAGACGCTGACATTATTTTTAGCTTCCAGTTTCCCAGGTGCCTTTACACACAAGCTCTGCCTTTAATTGAAGGTGTGTGTTGTTCAGTGCAGATGTGCTGTGTGTGGGCCCACAACGTGTGTATTCACAGAGGCTTTTTCTTTTATTTCCTCTCTACCCTCATAAATGTTGCATTTTCTTCAGAACTGTCTCAAACACTCACATGCATGGCTGCACATACACACATATTGTCCCCTTTTTGTCAGAAATCATAAGAATTGTATTAGTGAATGTAATTATAATAGGATAAAAGTCAAATTATTTCTAAGAATATTTAAGAATGCATTGAGAACAAACAATGGGGTCTTGAAAATTTTTCTACGCAGAATGAAATGGTGCAGAGATGGTGAGACAGGAGAGTTGTGGGTTCATTTGCCTGTCAGGAGTCGTGTTGCAAAGACAAGAGCAGAAACTAGCCGATACCAAAGTAACTCCAGCTTAGGTAAAAATAAATCATGAATTTCTTTTTCATTATTAGTGAATGAGAGAAAAGGTTAGCAAATGGCCCACAACAGAGCAATACTAGCTCCGATAGCGTAATTTTTTTGTCAAATGTAAAAATATTATCAAAAATTACCTCGGTTTTTATTTTATTTTATAAGTTTTCAAAGGGCCAAAATCAAGGATTCAAGGTTCTTTATTTGTCGTTCGCACCACAAAATTGTGTACATAGGGTCCCAGATACTTAGCAAATAAACTAACTTACATTTAGTTAAATCATTACTGTGGGAAAAGCTCAGTGGGTTTTTAAATATTAACTTCAGATTTTTCTCATTCAGGTAAAAAGGCTTTAGCACTTTCAAAGAGTTGTGGTTTTCCTTTTGAGCGGAAAATATTTGAGAATTATTTGCACAGCACTGGGATAAAATTTTGTTTGTAGAAACTCAACCAAATGGCAGCACATACAAGAAGAAAATTACTGGACTGAGAACAGAGCCTTGAGGGTCTCCTCATGAACCAGACTGACCAAACAAACTGTAATTGTTAGTGTGTTGAACATCTGTTGATATGACATGTTCAGATAGTATTTTTTTCATTACTAATGTTGTTTTTAAAAAGAGATAAGTGGACAGGGACAGAACACTTTATTGATTAATGTAAATATGAAAGTTTGTCAAAATACTTTAATGACTGAACTGATATTAAAAAATAGTGAAGAAGTCCATCAAATTTTCTATTTATTTGTCCAAAGATTCAATATAAATGTAGTTAAACTAGATTAAAAAAAAAAAAAGTTTAGGTTTAAAATAAAATATTTTCACATCAAGCCACTGTTTGTCACTGAATGTTGCTAGAGCCAAAGTTCATATTTTGTGTTTTCTATGTTCCTCATACTCCTTTTCCTCAACGTCTTCTTTTTCTTCTGACGCTGAGTTGCGTCACTGCTGCCATCAATGAATCTACAACATTTCTCACATTTTAGTGCAAAGGAAACAAATATTACTCTGTTCTTGCAGTGTGGTTTTGAATGTTTTAATTTTTTACATTTCTCTCAACTTGGTTTTTGTTACCTCCACCCCTTCCATTGTTGTAAAAAAACGACAACAACAAAAAACCATAGGAGTGATGCAGCAGATTGCAGCCTCTTCTTTTAGCCTCACACTCAGATTTTCCACCCATGAGAATGACAGAAACGATAACTAAAAGACCTTTTAATGATTTAATTAACTCTAAACTTATAATCACCTCCTTGGGTTCATTATGTTTTATTAGGAACCACTGCAGGTCATAGGTTAATTACACGTGTCTTTATTTTACTGCTTTCCCTCTGTGGACATCTCCTGGGACAGTGGAAGAGAAAAAGATAAAAGTTTTATAGCTTGCTGCCGTCTGCTCCTTACAGTCACTGCACATCATAACTAATGCAACACACACTCCATATGTGACCTGATTTTTCTTTTATGCAGGGCTACTGCCTTCTGCATCACTCAAATGAGCAGTAATATATAACAATATTTGCAAAAACACATCAGGAGAAATGATCTGTTACAATCTGTCTGAAAACAACAACAAAAAATGCCAAATCTAAGAAATAGTATTTAAGAAAACCGAATAGAAAAACACTGAACATGTGTCAATCCACTACAAAATATTTCAATACTTTTTGTTTAAAAATGCAAATTTGTTCTCTAAAATGATTCCCCCTTCTCTTCCTGTTAATTTTAATTTCTCAGACAGTAATTATGTTTATTGGTTGTTATACAAGCTTATTTATGCTGCATGCATACAGGCCAGCAGTTTGATAACTTTTTGATATTTTTATTTGTAAGAAGCAGAAACATGAGCACAAACCTAGCCCATATTTTTACTAAACTTCTCTGTATGTCTTAACACATCCTGGATTTGGTTTTCTGTTCAGACACTAGATGTCATCCTTGATTACAACCCCAAATCAAACAGACATGATGTTTTCCTCCAGAGTGTCTTTGGTCAGAGGCTTCTTCTGATCCGCTGTGAGACAGACCACTACATGCCCACAGCCATCAGCATCTTTATCAGCTCTGTAATGAAACCATAATGAGTTAAAACATTTAATTTTCCTTTGGGATTATTAAAGTATTTTAAAATTTGAATTGTATTGAATTGACATGTACAAAACTATTTATTTTACTCTCAGCAGCTTGCCTCAGAGGTGTAAAAATGATTTGGTTTCTCCTGAATTTTTAAAAAAAATCTCGTTGAGAGGCTGGAAGATGTAATTAATGAAATAGCAAACAGGTATGACATACTGGCTCGAACTGATCAGAACATTTTCCTTCTTGCATTATTAGCATCAACTTGACAGTTGTTTCAGTTACATAACTATCTAAATTCGGATATTTCTATTATGGTGAATATAAGTTATGATAATTTCCATTTCGGTCAAACCTAAAACGAGTCGCATGTAGCTCCAGAGCTGAGGGTTGCAGACCCCTGACCTAAAATGAGATTAAAAGGAGCAGAATGCCAAAGCAACAAATGCTTCTATAGAAATATGATCAATTAAAAAAACAAATTGAAAATACTTTTTATGAACATCCAAGAGTCACATAGTATTGTTTGTTTAATAGGTTTAAATCCTTCCATAAAGTTCAACTTTTTGTGGTACCCCTATAACAATAAAGTTGAGAAAACTTTCACACATATTTTGAAAAAGCCCCAAGTTAGATAACCAAAACTGATGTAATCTGACTTTCAATTGACTCCAGAGATCTGCCATAATGTTAAGTAAGCTCAGACCATCTGTGTTTGATATATTAACCTGATGCAACGTCTTGAAACCCCAATTTTTTATTGCGTCAGAACGTTTCTTGTTGCATACTTCAAAACATTTACCGGTAGTCAGCACCAGATCTCAACTTCAGTTTATCTATAACAGCACAGGACGGACTTAGGACTCGGCTAGAGTAGAGTTCTTTCTTTTTCTCCCCTATCTCGTGTCTCATTGTCTAGATTTGAATGATTTTGTTTACTTTTGGGAGAGAGCAAAGAGGGCTGCCAAGAAATGTAAAAAAATAGAAGCAGGAAATCTGTTTCCTGTCGAGGATCAGTTGCTGCTCTCTCTGTCTCAGGCATGCGACTGTAAAAACAGTCATTTAAGACAGATAAACATTTTTACACCTCATCAGATTAAGAGCTCAGAGAAGCAAACTTTCCACAGTGACTTCACAATCCAAACGTGCCCAGGCAAGACAAGACAAGAGGATAATTACAGTCTGCCTCAGTTTCCCGATACTGTGACGTTTGAGGGGCCCTCGCTGAGATTCCCTTGATATCGCTTGTGGGGGCTGGGGTTACTTCTGTGCCGCCCCTTTCATTTCCCCAGCAGTCAACAGGAAGACTGGAGGCCAAAGAGAGAGGCTGCACTCTGCAGGAGAGGAAGGACGCTGAAGTCCAGCTGTAGAGTCACAACAGAGAAACAACAGGAGCGGAGAAATGAGCAATAACCAGACGGAGGTGATGAAAATCCAGTCGGTTTATTTGAAGAACATTGAAAAATTAAACCAGGGGATAAAGCCTGAAAAGAAGAACTGGAAGACCAAAGAAGGGGAGTTTTCTGGGCCAACAACAATGGAAAAGCAGCGACCACCTCCTAAAACAGGACAAGTGGCCAAAAGCTCTGCTAACAGAATCAGCAGAGATCTGACCTGCTCCATCTGCCTGGATCTCTTCAAGCTGCCTGTTTCTTTGCCCTGCGATCACACTTTTTGCAAAGGTTGCATTGAGGGTTACTGGGCAGGGCCCCGAGGATCTGGGCAGGGGGGTACTGGCTCCTGCCCTCAGTGCAGGAAGGTGTACCCTGGACAGAGCTACCGGCCCAACCGCATTGTTGCCAACATAGTGGAGAGTTACTGCCAGGGTCTGGAGGAAGGTGGGAGTGGAGGCTGCCTGTCAGATGTCAGCGTGGCAGAGAAGGTTCCTGCTCCGGTACCACGCTGCAGCCGACACAGAGAGGAGCTGAAGCTGTACTGCGAGGAGGACCAGGAGCTGGTGTGTCTGGTGTGTGGGGTGTCCCAGGAACATAGAAGCCATACAATGATGTGCGTCCAGGAGGCTGAGCAGAAATACAGGGTGAGTTTAGCTCTAAGCGAGTATCTGTCTGAATGTTTCAACTTGGAGTTGTGCATCATGGAACATAATCAATTTCTGCATCTAATCTAACTTTTGGAGCGCAAGAGGTAAATTTCCTGCATGGGCACTAGATTTTATAGAGTTTCTGAGTCCATCTGTTGTTTCTTCCCTGCAACGAATAAAAAAATAGTTGAGTCACTGTGTTTGAAGTGAGTCACAGGGCACTGATGTTGTGTTTTGGTCCTGGTAGGGATTTCTAAACAGCTCGATGGACTCCTTAAATGCTGAACTTAACACAGCTCTGCAGTGTGACAGGGAGGCTGAAGATGAAGTGAAAAAGCTCAAGGTGAGACCACAAGATCCATCGCAAAAACATCAGCCTGTACAGTTTTATAGATTGTATGGATAAACTATTTAAATCGTCTCCAATTCTCCCAGGAGCACACGGCGGACCTGAAGCAGCGCATCGAGGCCCAGTTCAGCGATCTTCATCAGTTTCTGTACCAGGAGGAGAAGCTGCTGCAGGTGAAGCTGAAGACGGAGGAGCGGAGGGAACTGATCCGTCTGGACGAGCACAAGGCCCTGCTATGTGTGGAGATCTCTCGTCTGCAGAGGGCCGTGCACGAGATCGAGGACAAACTCAGAGAACAGGACCCGTTCACTCTGCTCCGCGTGAGTTCATGAAAATGAGTCTCGTTATGATGCAATACTGTTTATCTGGAATTTCTTACCAGCAATGATGAGCCAGCGGTTGGGATGATACCATGGGAAAATGCCGAGCGCTTACAGTTTCTGAAACTTTTTCACTTCTTTGGAAATTGAAAAGAAACATATCTACCCCAACCGGCTCCAGAATAACTGAGCAGGGTGTGCCTACTTTGGGTTTACACACTTTTCTTAGAGGTCATAATCATTTTCAAATCAGAACGCGTGTTAAACACACTGGTAATGTCAACACTGCTGCTTGTTTTCTACTAAACAATGGACTCTTCCTCTTGGTGAGATCAGACAGGATGTAGGTCGCTAATCTTTCTCCCTCATCTGGGGGAATGGGGACTTTAGCTCAGGCACATTGCCATTTTCTCTGGCGGGACTTTCCCCCCAGCCACAGAACGAGCCCATTGGGTGGGATAGCGTAAATTCAGACGTTGAAGTAATGTGGAAAAAGATTTCACTTCTCTCAAATCCAGCAAAACTAATTAACGGTGTGTGTGTGTGTGTGTGTGTGTGTTCCTGTGTTTATTTCTGGGTCTCATTTTCAGAGCATCAAAGTCTTGCTCCAGAGGTGAGTGTGGGAAACTTTGAAACATATTTTCCTTGAAAGGATCTATTGTTGCTCGACTTCTCGTTTTACTGTTTGACTTTGCTTTTGTTGGCAGACCGTCTCTGAAGTTTGAGAAACCAGGGTTCACGCCACCAAGTCTGTGTGAGGGGCGCTTTGCAGGGCCTCTGCAGTACAGAGCATGGAAATCTATGAAAGGAAGCCTTTATCCAGGTATTTGATATTACACTTTACCTGCAAAATTACTACAGCGACACATTAGCAATAGATAATGAAGGCTGGTATTTAACAGTTTACATACTCGGTTACATACCTGGTATGTACCTAGCACAGCAGCAAGTACCATGGATGATGTACTTGGTACTTACTTGTTACACAGCTGGTAGAAGGTATGTAATAAGTACCAGCTTTTATGTACCTGATGTGTACCAGTAAATACCTGGTAAGTGTCGGGTATGTACCCAATACCTACCAGGTAAGCATTACATACAAACTCTTAAGTACCAAGTATGTACCCAGCACATACACTTCTTACCAGGTAACAGGTATGTATCTGGTAAGAAACCAGGACATACAATGTAACTACCATGTACATACCAGGCAAGTATCAAGTATGTACAAAGAACATACCTTGTTACGTAACAGATTAGTACCTGGTTGTACCTAATATGTACCAGGTAGGTATCAGGTACTTATAACCAGGTACATACCCTGTAAATAGTAAATACCAGGTATGTATTGCTACCTCAGGTTTATCAGGACTTGAATGTTTACCATCTCTCTTTGTTCAGTTCCAGCAGCCATCACATTTAACTCCAGCACAGCCAACCCTTGGCTCAGCCTGACCTCCTCCCTCACCTGTGTCCGCTACCAGAACTTTAACCATACGGTGGAGGACAACCCCGACAGGTTCAATGCTGCCCTGTCACTTCTTGGAAGCCAGGGCTTCACTCACGGGCGACACTACTGGGAGATTGAAGTCTACAGCAGCGCAGTGTGGACGGTGGGGGTGGCCCGGGAGTCGGTGTCCAGGAAGGGAGTCATCAAAGCCCTTCCAACCAACGGCTTCTGGACTCTCTCCCTCTCTTATGGGATTCAGTACATGGCTGGAACATCTCCTCCAACTGTGCTGTCCCTGGAGGAGCCACTGGCTCGGATCGGAGTGTATCTGGACTACAAGAGGGGCCTGGTGTCCTTTTACAACGCGGAGAGCATGACACACCTGTACACCTTCAGGGAGACCTTCACCGAGACGCTGTACCCGTACTTTAACCTCGGCTTCCTGGATAAAGTGCATGAAAACGAGCCTCTCAAAGTTTTTCTACCAAAGATTTAAAGACCAAAAAGAAAATATGCCAACCCCCTCTTTGTAAAAATATAAAAAATAAATAAATTGTTAATACTTTGTATTGTACATACCGGTATAAAAGTTATTTAAGACGTAAAATATATAAAATATTCAACAGTTGTACACAATAGATCCAGTAATTCATGACCATAATAACATTTTCTATGATGTAAGGTTGAGTTTGTGTCTAAATCTTCTGACACGTTTCATTTCTGATCAGCTGAGCTTCAATGAAGAACATAATACACAGGTCTCGCTTGAAAATGAGACTAACCTGTGAAATAAAGGTTTAATGAAAAAATACTGTAAATGGACTGTACTTATATAGATAGCACCTTTCTATCTCATCAAGATACTCAAAGCACTTTACACCACAATCTGTGCCCTCATTTACCCATTTATACAGCACTCTACTATATCTATACAAGACTAATCAGTGCTTTATCACATTCATACACCGATGAGACACATATTGGAGGCAATGAGGGGTTCAGTGTCTTGCATGTGACTGCTGGTGGAATCAAACCCCCAACTCTTGCATTGGAGGACGACTGCTCTAACCACTCAGCCACAGCCGCCCAATACTGTGAAAATTAAAGAGATTAAAGAGTTTTTGTCTCGCTCATTTACAATTTCATAATTATTTATCATAAAACTTGGGCAATCACGTGACTGACGTGTGTTTGTTTCTTAAATTGTTAGCAAAATATCTAAACCATACACTATATATACTATCTCATTAACCAATAGACAGACTTCAATTAAATTTCCCAAAAGTAATCAATGAAAACACATCTACGAGTGATTCATTTTAGAGTCAACCCCATTGAAGATGACCTTCACAGTAATAAAATCTCCAAAAAACACAAAATTGGTCATAAATAAGTCAATTTTGAAAGATGTTCAACAAAAGGTGGTGTGGTAGATATTGTTAAACTTTTTTTTAAAGTTTGACCTGCAAGGTGGTGGGCAAAGTGCATTTTATTCCCCTTCAGGAAAATCAATCCATTTAATATTTATTTATGTATTAATGATGTGCATCATGTATTTGTTGATTAGTCTCATTATCTATTGGTGTGTTGCCTTCGGGGACCAAGGAGAATTCTTTGCTATT